AAAACAGGAAGGGGTATTGGCACCAACACGCGTATAGTTGAATACACCTGAAATGAAAAAAGCGGAATACAACGAAATGCCTTCTTATAATGTCTCTGATCCGATATGAAGATAAGTCCCCTCTCTTGCCTTACTCAACTCGGCTTAAAATGATCCCAGGGACTAACCTCTCGTGTGAATTTGGATCGTGAAATAAGGCAGCATTGGCAGTTACATTAACCGTATCCCCTACCCAAACACAACTATTGTTAACACAACAATGCACACTTCACACTTCAGACTCCACAATTATCGAAAATAAACTCAAAGCATCCTTAATTATGTCACAATTGCCTTCATATTCACTGACAACTTGCAATATAGGAAATGTTACAACAAAAGATTTGTACATTGTCTAAATCTGAAATTTTTGACTTACGTTTTCTCATGCATGTCGATGTGTGGGTCGCAAACTCCCAGGAAGCTATTTAGGGTCCACTGGCAACTTGCAGAATTGGAAAACTCGCTTTTTTCCGCAAAAAGGCCGTATTAAGTAATTTTCAAAAAAAAGATAACGCAAATTAGCGAAAATTAGCCAAATTCTGCAGAAGTTTGCAGATTCCAATTTTTTTGTGCAGAAAACTAGAGATTCTTTTGTCTTTCAAAAAATGTAAACAAAAAAAGCACGCTGATGCATCTGTGGTTAACCAAAAAGTCACAACAACAACTTCAGCTCAGTGAATGATCATCAACATTACTCTCTTGAAAACACAGACGAGAAACTGGAGAAGGCTTTAGCAGACACGTCATGGGACGGATCAACCTCTCCAGAGAGAAGCCATTTTCACGTTTTTGGGGGGGCAAAGCCTACTATCATCATGCTTTAAAGCCACAGGTTCTTCGTTCTATTCAAAACAACTCTAACAAATACAGTATTGGTAAAAAAAAAGACTCTATATCATCAAACAAAAGATTAAGCAAACTGAGAATTTGCAATGAATGATCAGTGACTCTTATCCCTGTACAATAGCGGAATCAGTATACTTATGGCAAAGCATTAGTGAGAGGAAGGGTGAACCAAATTTGCTCTATTAGCTGTTTTCTTATAAATTGTCAGAATCTCGTTCCACACAACCAAACTTCCCGTTATTTTGAAGTCAGACCAAGGCTTACATTAGAGGAGTATATCAATTTGAAGTAAAACCTCAACTACAATTATGCCATGCGTGGTTGAAACATTCAAGGTGTTCTTTATGACCAATAAGGAATACTAAAATACTAAAGATATATATTTAAACAGATCCAAAAAAGTTGTGATCTAGTAATGACCTTCTGTATTGATTCACTTCTCTTCTGCAGAACTCTCTCTAGACACATTCCCCTCAGAATCATGGTTCTCTGATTCGTCATGGTCAAACTCATCATCTGGGATATCGGATTCTTCAGATACAGACTCTTCAAAAGAATCTATATCTTCCTCTGACTCTAATATTTGCATCACGCTTTTCTTCAGACTTTCAGCCTTTGCTTCTTGTCCCGCAATCAGACGCATAGTTTCAGCGACGCTATCTCTTAATACCGTGTTAGACATAAAGGCAAGATTTTCATTGATGGCTTCGACAAGAGTAGCTTTATATTTTTTTTCTCCTTGATTGAATTCTCACGCATCATTATTTCCTTTTTAAGGTCTTGCTTTTTCTGTCGGTAGAGAAGGTCAAACATAGTCTTCTTATACTTCTTTCTCTTTTCTTCCAGAAGTCGTTTCAACTCCCTGTCACCGTTCAGGCCGATATCATCACAGTCAAAGAGTTTGCTCAAGACTCTGAAAAGAACAACATCTGCATCTAACTCTGGTAGAGCGTTCAATTCAGAAAGGCTTCCGATCACCTGTTCTCTCATGTATTGATTTCTTCTAGCATGATACAAGTGAAATTCATCGTTGCGGCATTGGCTCAAAATTTTGAGAAGTCGAACCTTATGTTTGCAGGCTATGGTCGAAATACGACAGTCGTAGTAAAACTGAACATAAATCTCTTCATCATCATCACACGGTAGCTGTCGTTGAACCTGTTTTTGTGCGTTTAGCAGTCTGCATTCTCTCATGAACTCTCCCACCTCTGCCGTAAGCTTGGTTCTTCAACTTGTTAAGCCTGGCAACTGGTATTCCAGTAGCACTCCTAACTGTTGTCCATGCTCTAGATAGTTCATTACCGACGAGAAAGTCAACATGAATACCCAATAGTTCTTGTACGGCCTCTTTTTGTTCTTCCTGCCTAAGTTTGAGATAAGGTTTTCTATCACTATTAGTGATCGAGGTATCCGCTAAGTCAGAAGAACTTTGTTATGTCATATAGATATGCTCAATCCTTAGAGGAGTAGTGACACCTTGATGCAAAACAAGTAGTGCGTCTCTTGGTGATGAAGCCTCTGGAACGGCCATGGACTAACCGTTAAACTCTGAGCCTCAACATTCAGACCTAGCACTTCCAACCATCACCCCATATAGTCGGACACCATAGAAAACCCCATTATACATCCCAATAGGTGGATGTTGACGCATCTTGATTATACTTGACGTTTACTACTAGTAGTATCGAAAGTGGGATCAGACGTGTAAATTTTTGAAGAGAGCCCTTTTTTCCACTCCTTCTGATTTCTTTTGTACATGATATCCAGAGCAGCGAGGCACAAAAGAGAAACAAAAGACGCAAAGAGCTTTCCAAAAATTGGAAAGCTCTTGCAGGAGCTCGTGCGTTTTGCGAAAACCGCCGGCATCAGCGTGCAGGCCAGACGCAAGGCAACATTTTCAATTTTGGTCTTTCATTTATAGCAGGTAAACTCCAAGCACGCGGTTTCCTTGTAGAAATTAGGCAGAATCAAATATGGCCAACTGTAACAAGATGGGAAGCTCAGATGGCAACGCACGTCATTTTCAGTACTCTTCGTAGAAAACAAATGAACAGGGAAATCTCTTGGAACAGATCAGGTTGATACACTACGGCAAAACTTCTTCTTCAAGTTATATATTGATGTCCGATTTGCATTGATTTCCATGTTAATTCCCCCCTACACACACATAACGGAAAACACACCCAGGCGTTTAGTAATAGGCACATATTTCAACAAAGCCATGATGGGCACGGGCATAGTCAATGTGGAATAATTTGATCTCCTCGTCTCTACGTCACTCCTTAGTGTGAGTGCTTTAACGTGTGTAAAGAAATATCCCCCAATTGACTGTACTGGACACGCTCCGCTTCATTCGTGACTACCATTCCTTCTCTTCTATGTGTAATCTAACTTCATCCCATTATAAGGGCAGTATAGACCCTTGACTATATATTATTCGGATATCTCTCACATGTACAAAGTTCTGTCGAAGTAACGAGCGATAGGTAAATCGTTCTCGGAATACACACTCGTGTCTTCGCCTTCCTTTATGCCT